GGCTGCCCTGATCACGATGCTTGTGTAGTTACCTGCTGGCTGTGCGCAAATAAGGGATGTGTTCTTTAAATATACAGCAGGGATGGGCGAGTACCGATACCAAATATCGGGATCGGGCCGATACCAGCCTTATTTCAAGGTATCGGTATCATGAAGGCTGTCGATATCAGCCACTGATATTAAAGCAAAAAAAAAAAATATATATATATATATATATATAAGAGTAACTGCTCATATATATATATATAATAAACATAATTCTGACAGTACTACAATGCAGTGGTTAGACACGTCAGTAAATCATGTACACCAGAAAGAAAGAAGGATTTGTTCATCATGATTTGACATCATGCTGATGAAAATGTTACATTTTATATGCGTGCCGGTGGTATCAGTACATGGTATCGGTGATTACTCAAGAGTGAAAATCGTATTGTTTATTGGTTGGAGAAAATGTATTATGGAGCATGGCTAAAATAAACACAGCAATATCAGATATCGATACACTTCAAGCTGCAGTGAAGATTGACTTGGTTTTTAATTGTGATATTTCATAATAAAATCTGCAAACATTGCAGAACTTCAGAGAAAGTTTGGTGCGAGTGGGAAAAAAAATGGGAGAAAAATGCACGAAAGACCTTTGAGAATATCTAAGTGAATGAGGTGTGACTTTGCATCATCAAATTTAGTGCAGTTAGTCGATTTCTTTTCCGCCCAGTGGGAGCTGCAGAGGAAGTGGCGTCGCATCGCATTTGTGCAGCCGAGCACAAATTCTGCAGCCGCTCTGTCTTTGCTGCAAGGTCGAACAAACGCAAACAAGTGCTGACCAACGGAACAAAGATACATCAGAAGACAACGTGAGCCGCTGATCGCGGCTCATGATGCTCCCCATACTGTTAGAGTAAGTGTTTGAAGTTTCATTGCGGCGATGAGAATTCATATCTGCTCGTCAACCGATCGATGACATTGAGAAGCAGCTGAGAGAGGGGCAAGGGCGAGGGGGGAGGACTCATTTTATTGTCCATCTGATGTGGGGCGGAAAACAAGGGCAGTAATTCTGAGAATGCCAAAACAAGAGAGCCCTCATGTCCTCCCCCCTCCCGTGCTCATTCATTCTCTTTTCGTCTCGTTACGACAATTGGGCGTCTGTTTGCACATCCCTGATTTCCAGTTTTCTTCCCTGAAGCTAATCTGTAGACTAAAGCATACGACTACAGTAAATACTGAGACAAGGGCTGAACATTTGATCAAAATCAAAAGAACATTGCAGTGCAGTAGAATGCATTTTTGTAGTGGCAAAAGCTGCAATTTGGTAAAGAAAAAAAACAGTTTCATTTTGGATGTTTGTTCGGCTTTAGTTTTTTTTTTTTAAATGTAGACATTTGTATTTTATTCATGAGTTTATATAGTGTCTAGATAAGTGTAGTGCTTAAGAAGTGCAGTCTGCGTGTTTACATATTGTTTCATGAAACATGAAGAGTTGAGGTGATAAAGCCACAGATTTATTTGCATTATTGTAAAACAATTTATGACTGACTGACATGTCTATGCGACACTTGTTTGGTAGAATTTTGTGAAGTTGTAAGACTGAACGCTTGAAAGACTGGAAGTTGAAGTTTAGAGTAAATTAACTCTCATTGTCGCTGATAAATAGTTCTTTCACATTAATTCATGGGTCATTTATAAGCCCAATTTTGAAAATGAAAACATTGATGTATAATACATGTGACATTGTTTATTGTAATACAGATTATTTATTGCTTGTATGGGAAGAGCACCAGAAAAAAACTCACATATTAAATCACAATCGCAATTGGGGGTGTCACAAATATTTTTCACAATTGTTTAGTGGTTCTGTGGAAAGGCAACTCTGGCCTTCTCTACTTTAACTGCTGTCCCTGTGACCTGACCCAGAAAAGGATGGATGGATGGATGGATGTGCAACACACCTTTCGTCTTAATCTTTTGATAGTCACTGAACTGGTGTCCTGAGGTACCCTGACATTCTGTGTGGCCACAAGTCTACTCTAGGCCAAAGAAAAAGCAAAATGCTGTCCCTGTGACGTGACCCAGAAAAGGATGGATGGATGGATGGATGAATGGATGTGCAACACATCTTTAGCCTTAATTTTTTGATAGTCACTCAACTGGTGTCCTGAGGTACCCTGACATTCTGTGAGGCCACAAGTCTACTCTAGGCCAAAGAAAAAGCAAAAAAGTTGATCCTTCGATGCTCACTGAACCAGCCATTCTTGATGAACCCTCACGCATTCTTCTTGGTTTCAGAAGGGGGAAATATTATTGTGTTATTAAAATAGGTGTGGAGCGAAGCGAAACCACAGCATTGTTTTTTCGCTTCGGAAATGTCGTGTCAATGAGTCACCTGCTGTTGAGTGCGGAAATGTGGTTAGAATGAAACCCCTTAATCAATGTAGCGATCAGATTGAAAAAGTGATGATCAGATCAACATTTTTGATGACAAACAGCCATATTCTTCTTTAAAAGTCAATCATATTCATTGGCACAAACAAAGAGGGGGCTTCACCTGTACACAAATCACAATATTTTAAAATCGGATAAACACACACGCACACTCCCTGTTCTCACATTCCACATGGACTCGCTCGTCTCTTACATGTGCATGAGAGAGATTTATGAGACTGTCTGCCTGCTTTACCACATCAACAATTGCTCATAACTTCATTGGGACTCTTATCAGCACACTCCCTGTTCTCGCATTCCACATGGACTCGCTCGTCTCTTACATGTGCTACTTTACCACTTCAACAATTGCTCATAACTTCATTGGGACTCTTATCACAATACCCAGAAATACGAAATACAACCATATCATATTTGTTCCCACTCCTCAAATGGTCCACTTTGACGATTTTCAGTGGTGTGGTGATTTACTGATTAACTGTACAACATCGACTACAAAATGCCTTCCCGAAATAGGTCAATTAAACAACTTGTCAAAAGTGTTTTCCCACCCGTCACAAATGCCCGAGAGACGACAGGTGAACTGCTAGCTTACTCATTCCTCCTTCCAAATGTTTTTTGTGTGTTCTTTCAGTGTTTTCAAACAGTTTGGACACAATTAAAAGACGGCGCACAGGAAATATATATTACAAATGTGAGGAATTTATCGAAAAGCTCAGTTGGCGTCAGTCGAATAATTCAAATGGCCTAACTACCAGACAAAAACGAAGAATGGGGACTTTGATTTGGTCCAAGTAAATAAGCTTGAGAAAATAAAGCAGTCAAAAAGTAAGTCGTCTTGACAGTTCGTCTGCTTTAGCTGTCTGGCAACGAGAACGTCAAAGCAAAAAAATTTAAAGAAAAAAAAAGTTACCTCGTACTCTTGTCGCGTTCCCTGCTCGTCTGCGTCACTGATGTTGCTTTCCGAAGGGAAAATTGGGTGTATTCTCACGCACTTACATCCGAAAACACGGACGAAAAAATCGCAAATCGACGTAGAAAGAAGTTCATTGTGCGGAGTCGGGAGCAACCTGTTACCTTCGTCCGGGATGGAAAGATCCCGCCCAACTTCTCCAAAAGAAGCGATCTGATTGGGCAGCCGGCGCAAGAAGGAGGCGGGAGCATGTATGTAGGCCGCGTCTTCTATTGGTTAAATCTCAAAGTCAATCATTTAACTTGATTTATGCTCGAGGGCTCAACAGATTTTTACATTAACAGAAACACTTTAGTGAGCAATTTACTGCAACAGCAATAAAATACGTATGCGGAGAGAGAAGCGCACTTCGATGACTAAAGACTGACGAAACTCTTGCACGTTTTGCGTTTTTGACCACGAGATGGCGCAATTATTTGTTTTGTCCACAAACTAGCACACAGACGTTCTCAGTCAAGTCGACT